AAGTGATCCATGAACACATACACAGGTGACTTATTTTGCCCCTACGAATGAAAAGGGCCACTGGTCACTTACTGTGAAGGGTCCTTTACTTCTGAGGAAAGAAGAATATCTTGGATGGGTGATTCTCACCATCCTATCAGGGAGACAAGAATTACTTTTTCCCTCTTCCCCATTAGAATCATGGGAGTCACTGCCCTCTCAGTTCTGGTAACTCCGAAAAGCAGTCAAAACTATATCTCATTCTATGTTTAACAATAACAGTAACAGGTAAGTAACAAGAACAAAGGTAAGCAGAACAATAAAGACAAGAGAGAAAAGGAAAAGCAGCTAGATTAGAAGGTGACCTGGAGGGGGGAGAGAAGATGTCCTCCTTTCCTCAGAAAAGAAGGACCCTTCACGGTAAGTGACCAATAGCCCTTTCTCCTTCTGAAGTGGAGAACATCTTGGATGGGACTTCCCAAAGCAGTGTCTTCAGAATATGAGTGGGTCATCATCTAGGTGTCTACTTTGTGCTGCAGCATGTGCCATAACTTTTCTTTAGGATGCTTGGGATCTGGGCAGAAGGAGACCTGTGGACCTGAGGAAGAGTGAAGAAACCTTGGACCTTGGACCTGTGGAAGAGTGAAGAAACCTTGGGTTGGACGGACGGATCCCATTCTCAATATTACTTTGTCCTTGTGGAAAACACATAATTGTGGTTTGACAGACGATGCACCCAGTTCCGAGACTCTCCTTGATGATGTCACTGCGGTAAGGAAAAGTGTCTTTATCCTCATCCATTTCAGAAGTACGTCCCTCAATGGTTCGAATGGATCCTTGGTGAGTGCAGGTAATACTGTATATAATCTCCAGGTTGGAAACATGTGGATCTGTGGAGGAGACTTGATTTTTGTGCCCTGAAGAAGGAGGTGGACGTGTGGATGATTTGCCAGGTTGCATCCCTCAAACTGAGGCAAGACTGCCCCCCTTAGCATGGAAGCTTTTAACCCAGAAAACAGGCCCTCTTGTAAGAAGGACAGAACAGATTCCAGAGGTGGGTTGAGAGGATCCACTCCTTTCCTCCTATACCATCTAGTGAAGGCTTTTCAGGAAGTGCTGTAATTCCTGATTGTTAAGTGCTTCCTAGAGACCAGTAAGGTTTCTGTCACCACAGGAGAGTACCCTAAGTTTATGAATTTGCTCCAGGCGGTCAAAAACAGCCATTCTGGGTGTGGGTGCCAGGCTGAGCCCTGCTGAAGCATGTCTGGTGACGATGGAAGAGTTAGAGGAGGAACTGTCCCCATCTCCTGAAGGGTAGAAAACCATGGACGGTGAGGCCAAGACGATACCACCACTATCACCTCCATTTTCAGTTCTCTGGTTTTCCTTAGCATCTTGGGAATAACTGAAATCGGCGGGAAGGCATAGAGGAGAACCGCTGGCCACACTGACGTCGGCACATCTGCTGTTTCAGCCTTGCAATGGAAATACCTGGAGAAGAAGAGAGGGGTTTGGTGATTGGACACCTATGCAAAGAGGTCCACTAGTGGGACCCCAAACCTAGTTGTGATCAGATGTAACAGATCTTTCTTGGTGTATCGTCTCTCTGCTGAGCCAGTCTGCCTGTAAGTTTATGGAACCCTTGACGTGTTCCGCTCGGATGGAGGCTACATTCTTCTCTGACCACATCAGTATCTTCGTTGCTTCCTTGTCGAAGATCTCTTTCATCATTGGACCAGCGACCCTGTACTGGAGAGTTGTCTAAGGTTGTTCCATATCCCCAGAGACTGGCATCTGTGAAAATCTGTTTCATATTCGGGATGTAATATTGTTTCCCTTGAAGAAGGCTGGGTATCCTTGTCCATCACACATGTTCCACAGCAAATGTGTTTTAAAAATTATTCATCCAATACTCTTGTTCAAGAGTCTGACATTTAACAATAACTGTGATTCAAAAACATGTAGGAAAAGTGAGCACAGTAAAGGTAAGTAAAACCAGCAAAACAATAAATCCTAACACGTCTGACTCTACTGTCATGGCCTTCTCTAGGCAACTGGTCTCAGACTGACTCACCCCTTTTGGATGAGGGATCCCTCCTTCTGCAGCAGCCTCACCAGCCTTGCTCCCTGAGAGAGAGAACGCCCTCCCACTTTGGGCAAGGCCTTTTATTCCTTCTTCCCAGGCACCACCTTCTACACCTCTAACTGGTATAAATTTTCCATCCAAATCCCCCTGTTAGCCAATCACAGGGTCCAGAGGGTACCTGGGAAATGTAAGTCCTGTCGTCACTCTAATACAGGCTTTCCTGGAGCCACTAGGCCACCCTAGAGCCTGTAAGCTGCACCACTATAGGCCCAGGATCATGACAATACCACATCTTTCTCCACAATGGAAAAAGTTCTTAGCACATCCCTTCCACTGCAACAGTGCTACAATGATTTGCCATCCCCAAAAGACAGCAAGCGCTGCAAAGTTTGATTTGTTCAGCCATTAAAAATACTTTGCGTTAAAAAAAAAATCAGAGCTGATTATTTTAAATATGAAAAACAGATCACAAAAAAGACTAAGGGAAATTTATAGTATTGGTAACTCAGGTGGTATTTCCCCTCAACTAGACATCTATTTCAATATGCTGTACTCAGCTCTGTTTTATAGCTGTACACCAAGGACAATTTCGGAGTCTCAAAGTTAATTTGAATAAGACAGACTATAGACAGATATAGATAGATATACAGAAAGAGCGCTCAGCAAAGTTCTGTTAATTAAACAGAGTCAGAGATGCTCTGTGGCTGTAGATCAGCAACAAAAAAGGGCATAAGGTCTCCAAGTTCATTAATGGATTTCCCCAGGATGAAAGACAGTCATTCCTGAAATCCAGGGAGTAGCACATCTGCTTCACTGTACCAACCATGTAGCTTGTTGAAACAGAGCACAGTATCAAGCCAAGGACTCAGCTACCTAAGGCCCCGTTCACACGGAGCATTTGCCGCACTAAAGAGACGGATGATAGGCAGATTTTCCGAGCGCGATCACACCGCAACATCTGGGAAGCGTAGTGCTCCCGTGGCTAACCCGTGGTTTCCCGCTGAAGAAGAAGGTACTAGTTTCCAGAAAACGCGGGGCAAGGGCGGGCATCTGATCGTGTTCTGTCCTAGTCCCATCGCAAACCGGTTACTTTTTTTTTTTCAGTCTGCACAGGATGCGCACAAACGATCATGTGCATGCTCACCTTCTGGTGGAAAAAAGAAAATTCCCGATTGTCACGGAAGCGGTGCATAGCAATTGCTGGTGTGATCGCGCCCCGCCGCTTCTTTGCTGCGCTGCAGGAGAGCTGTGTGATCGGCACCTCCCGCCCTAACCACGGGACCTTGACAGGACGTGTGATCAGGCGGCCACGTGTTATTTTGTTCCGGGGCAAACAGCCACGCTTCCCCCCCGCATTTTCCGGCCCGTGTGACCGGGACCTAAGTTTGGTAAAAGAGAAATGAGGAGCTTCAAGCTCTCTAGTTCCCTCAAACCTGATTTTAATACATATTCAGCCTATAAGAAACATTCCAGCTGCAACACATCCCAGGTTAAATTGAAGTCTTCTAAACTTCCTACCGGAAAAGAAAATCTTTCAAATGGGAGGAGAACTGAATTTGACGTGCTAATGGATCACTGCATTTGCACAAAGCTTCAGACAATGGTCACCAAGGTGTAAACTCTATTGCTGCCTGTCTCCTAGAGTATCAACTCTCAAGTCCAACAAATGCCTTCATATGCTATTTTACTGCCGGTCCTCTTTTAAGCCAGCTGAATGGAAACAAGTAAAATGTGAATCAGGAATAGCAGGAAATTGAGATTTACGAAAACGAAACCAAAAAAGGGAGGGAGAACAGCAAGGAAACTACAGGAAAGGAAGAGAACACTCCCCCAAAGTACTATGAAATGGGAATGAAGAGGCAAAAAAGTACAGAACTCAACACAGCAGCAAATTGTCTTAAACCATTACAAATATGGTATTAGCTTGCTGAGCAAGTAAATAAATAATCTGTGGTTTAAAGTCTGGTTGGACAGACACACGCAAAGGTAAAAACTCTAGCCTGGCTCTCAGTTCAAGCATCCTATCAGCAGCGACAGACCAGAGAGTACAGACAGAAGATGGCATGCAAACCTAAAACATAACATGCAGGAAAAAAATACAGGACAGTGAGAGGAATTTATTATGTTAAGTCAGAAAACTGAAGGAATTCCAGATATGTTATTCAACCTAGCTCAAACACATTAATTCTGTGTGACGTTAACAGCACAATGGGCCTATTCCAAGTATATTATATGAATGTAAAAATAACTGATGTAGCTGAATCAGTAAAGCATAATTTGCAAAATTCATCCATCCAACTTATAGCGAGCAAATCATCATAGACTTGTATTTCTGGATTTGCTTGCTTTCCCAGATTTCAGATACATGCTGTACATTATACCACAGTATACCACAGTAACACATGCATATATAATTATTCACTGAAATTGCAGGAAAACCAGGCTAAAAGTTGTATTTTATTTAAAATATTTATATCATGGCTTCCTCCATTAACCCAAAAGACCTAATCCGTCTCTTTAACCAATATTTGTAACCATACAGCAGTAGTTTTAAAAAGCTTTAAGTTAGCAAAGTTTGCTCAAAACCAGCTTATTTTAACATTTTTTTTAAAAGACATACGTAGCACAACCTTGTACTATCAATCCAGAAATTCAGTTCCTTTAGCTGTAATGCAAATAGATCTGCAAAAGTCTGGTTGAAGTGGGAGATTTGTAAGTTGGTTTTAGATGCATTGCAGCACTTGGGGAAGCTATGGTCCCGAACTGACTGCAAATAAAATAAAATAAAATTCTAGCACAGCCATTATTTTCAATTCAGAGTTTGAATAGTTTTACAGTATTTAATCTGCAACATAAAATTACTTTCACAACGTTCCATATTAATGAATCATTAATACCACACCTGTTAATGAATGCTAGATGTGAACATAAATACCTGTAGTTAAAGGCAGGTGAATGACAGTGGTTACACATGTCAAAGTAAACCAGATGGCTGCTAGAGTTGCCCCTGACAATAACAGGATAAGGATAAGTTTCAGCATTCCTCTGATGAAATCTGCAAACCTAGGAAAAAAGACACACAACACATTTACAAGGATTTCACACGTCCAAATAACAAGAGCATTATACTTTAGCCTGAAATGCTGGGAAAG